AAGTGCGCTCTGACGATGACAGCGATGGTAGAATCATCTGCTCAAATTGAACCCTTTGAAGTTTCAAAAGGTAACGAAATATGCTTTATTTTATTCTTCTGTAATTGTTCTTAAAATATCAAGAGTTTTTTTTTTTGCTATTGCAGCAGTTAAAGATCCATCCGTGCTGTGTATGTATAGGTCCGGGTCGCTAAAGACCCGAATATGTAATAATGATTGGCGAATCATTCATGCATTTAAGGGTTAATGGAGGTTTAAATAAAAAAAAACTGCACATGCAATTAAAATATGTAACTGATCGAACAAAAACTGGAGATCTGACAAAAACAGGTCTCAGAGAGGTGTTTATTACAAAGAAAAATTAAAATGAAAGCACATCGAGTTAGCAGAGTGCGAGGGTCGTGGCGGGATGCGGATCCGTCACTCATGGTGCACCTCGGTGTCGGACAAACAAAAGAAGTGAGGAATATTTAACAGCAGCGGTCACAGTGATGATGAGGCCAGCACCAGTGAAGTGATCGCGGCCGCGCATCTCGTTTCTCATGCCCGCTCCGTGTGTCTGCTGGGCGGCGATCAAACAGACAGGGCAGCACTTTTCAGGAGCGGAGATCGCTACTAGACGAATCATGTCATTTTTTATTTTTTTTAATTATTATTTTTATTTCTGTTCTTTTGTCATAAGTTATGCTATTACTCCATTAATTTATACTAGCCTATCCAGCGCGCCCTCAACGCAGTCTCTGGCTTATTGCCAGTCGAGCGCAACGCTGCAGGGACGCGTCTATAACGACTTTGATCTGATCATAAAGTCTTTCCGAGTCACAGGGCTCAAGTCCAAGTCAAGTCTCGAGTCATTGCTGTCAAAGTCTAAGTCGAGTCTCAAGTCTTCTTTAATTATTTCGAGTCGAGTCGCAAGTCATCAAATTTGGGACTCGAGTCCGAGTCAAGTCTCGAGTCAAGTGACTCGAGTCCACACGCCTGATGTGAGGCCTTTTATCTCCTATAGAGGTCATTCCTAAAGAACAGAAACTGCTCTTTGTTAATAATTGGAATCTTTTCTGGGAGCATCCTAGGCTTTTTCGCGCTGATGGCCTGCACCCCAGCAGAGTCGGAGCGGAACTCCTGTCGGACAACATCTCCAGGACGCTACGCAC